GGCCTAAGTGCCTACGAGTCCGGCGGACACTGTTGCCAGTGCCTCCGAGTGTGAGTCTGACTGTTCTCAGTCAAAGACCGGCATACTCCGACTCAGATGAGGGTGAGCACTACTCTAGTCTCTAGACTGGTCTAGTTCTAGTCAGAGCTCAGATGCTAGTGCCGACTCGGAGTCCTCACATCAGGACAGTGTTACTTGCCACCACCTCGGGCGTAGCACGCGGGCCAAACGGTCCCAATCACATCCACCTCACATGTCTGCTGTATTGCTGCTACATATACATTGTTGCCGCAGCAGCATCTTGATGTGATGGTCTGATGTTGTAACAGTGTACCCATTTGCTAGGCCAGCTTGGTGCGTTCCCGTGGAGTTTGCCGGGGCACCATATTTGTAACGGCGATTCCGTTTGCTGTTGCCGTGGCCGTGTTTGTCACATGATTGGTGCATTCCCGTTGAAGTTGCCCAGCCGGGCACCACGTTTGTCAGTTGTGCCTGTTTGAAGTTGCCAGGCCAGCTTGTATTGGTGCGTTCCCGTTGAGTTTGCCGGGGCACCATGTTTGAAACGGCGTTCCCGTCTGCTGTTGCCGGGGCCGTGTTTGTATTGGTGCATTCCCGTTCAAGTTGCCCAGCGGGGCACCACATTTGTCAGTTGTGCCGCTTTACAGTTGCCAGGCCAGCTTGCATTGGTGTGTTCCCGTTGAGTTTTCCGGTCACCATGTTTATAACGGCTTTCCCGTTCGCTGTTGCCGGGGCCGTGTTTGCATTGGTGCACTCACGCTGAAGTTGCCGAGCGGAGCACCACGTTTGTCAGTTGTGCCTGTTTGAAGCTACCAGGCCAGCTTGTATTAGTGCGCTCCCGTTGAGTTTACCGGGGCACCATATTTGTAACGGTGTTCCCGTTTGCTGATGCCGGGGCTGTGTTTGTATTGGTGCATTCCCGTTGACGTTGCCCAGCGGAGCACCATGTTTGTCAATTGCGCCTGTTTGAAGTTGCCAGGCCAATCCTGTAACGCGCACTCGTTTGCTGTTGCCGGGTGACATGTTTGTCAATTGTGCTTGTAGCATACTGCCGTGATGTGCAATTAATAACAGGCCGCCGGAGCTGGTCAGGTTATTACCGGACCAACTTTTCAGCCACGAACACGTGTTTCCTACTGTGGAGGGCAGGTGTACCCGTCATACCATACACAAAGTATAACGGCCATGATACTACCGGACCACTCAAACGCTGCATCCGGCGGTCCTGAGTAAGAGTAATAATTACGAGCCATGCATTGGTTTGTTTTGCCAATGGCTTTTTGTGGTACACGGCAATTTGCTATCATTCGTGGCATTTCACAGAGTGACGAATGTGTGAAGACAAAACAAAAAGAAAAGAAATAATTTTAATAATGGCAAACCCCGGCCCCCACAATTATCAACCTCCGAGCGCTGAACAGCTATCTGTAGTATCACCACTTCGCGCTGGAGTCATTGAAGACAATGCCGGATCACCTGCAGCTAGGGGATGTGATGATCGGGATAGACTTAAGAGATGCTTATTTCTCCAGTCCAGCGGCTTGATCGTCAGTTTCTCCAGTTTTCAGTGGCATCAACAGATTTCCCAGTTTAACTGTCTACCGTTTGGCTTGCGCAGTGGTCCCAGAGGCCAGAGTATTCACCAAGACTGACTCTGCACCCTGTGGTGAAGATGGTACGTTCGCTCGGCCTACACCTGGTTATTTACCTCGCCGACGTATTTATCATGGCACAGACAACGTCCGACCTGTTTCGCCCTGTTGCTACCATTCTTCATCTGCTGATTGGTCTTGGGTTCGACATCAACTGGACGCAGTCGTATCTGATTCCCACCAGGCAGATACAATACCTGGGTATTCAGGTCAACTCCGTCACCATGGAGTTCTCATGGTCAGACTCGAAAGCATCCACGCTTCAACAACAATGTGCGCGTCTGCTGGCTGCTCACACCGTATGTCTTCTGGGTATTGCGTCAATTGTGGGCATGATGGTGTCCACCATGGTTCCTGCATCACTTAACTATCGTCGCTTGCAGTGTTTGAAAACCACGTTCCTACGGCAGGGTCCCTTTTACACTTACAGATTACTCTCAGTCATGAGTGCCATGCCGAGATTCATTAGTGGATAATGCCAATGTCACCACAGGCGGCTGATGGACATCTGCCGAGAAACAGCTTCACATGAATGTCCCCAGCTTCACATGAATGTCCCGGAACCGCTCACAGCCCAGTATGCTGTCCAGTCGCTAGCGCCTTCTCTATACCAGGGCAGTATTCTCCTGCAGCTCGACTAACGTGTGGCTGTTCCCTGTTTGCCTCGCACTGGCAGCCGTTCATCACCGACATTAGACAGGATAGCTGCCACGCTGTGGGAGTGGTGTCAGTCTGCTCAGAGATATCACTTTGATTCCCAATATCTACCTGATGCAGTGAATACAGTTGCCGATTATCACTCTCGCCATCACACCGATACCAGCGCCTGGATGCTCGACCGGTCAGTTTTCCAGGATCACCAGATCATGTGACCGAGTACCTGCGACCTGTTTGCATCTCGCACTAACTTTTGACTGCACACGTACGTCAGTTGGCGCCCATATGCACACAGCCCGCATGCCTTCCGTCTCGACTGGTCCTGCCTGCAAGTCTATGCCTTCCCTCCAATCTATCTGATTGGCAAATGCCCGGCCAGGGTTGTTCTACAGGAGATCCCATCCATAGTCATGGTCACTCCGCTTTGGCCCGGCCAGGCTTGGGTTCCAGCTCTCTTGGCACTCGTGGTGGACATTCCGCGTGTGCTGTCAACCTCTCCGGTCTTGTTCGCTGGTCCAGATCACAAAGTTCACCCGTCAGTACAGTCAGCTCACTTCACCCTGGTCGCATGGAAACTCTCCGGGCTAGTAACAGCCGCAGCGGAGTTTCGGACGACCCTGCCAACCTACTCTTGGCGTCCTGGCGTTCCCTCACCGACCGTGTGTATCAGTCGGCATGGAACACATGGTGTGATTGGTGTGCCACACGGCAAATTGCTTCCCTGGGTGTTCTCTCAGAGGTCCTCGATTTTCTGACCTCTTCATTCCGTCTGGCTCGACTGTATCATACGCTCGGGTTGTACCGGTCAGCCATGTCAATGACGCTTTCTCCCATCGATGGCGTTGTGGTTGGCCCGCATCCTCTGGTGTCTCATATGCTACCCGGTGCATACCAGTTCCGTCCTTCTCAGCCGTGCTATGGCAGCATGTGGAATGTACAGGCAGTCCTGGATCGGTTCCGGAACATGTCCTTCACGCATGAGTCTCTCAAAGAACTGACTCTCAGGTTGACTATGCTGCTGGCTCTGACGGGTGCCCGGCGTTGCTCTGAGCTGCAGAAGCTCGATGTTCGTTTTATGGACATTATTGTCAACGCTGCTTCATTTGGGATCCCCACTTTTACCCAGAATCAGCGCGTCGGTGATCCAGCCAAGCAGTTTGTCTTCCCTGCTTGCCCTCAGCACCCTCCGTTGTGTGTGGATGCTCTAAGGCAGTATTCTGCTCGCACAGAGAGAGAGAGTTTCCCGCCCGCTGCCGCCGCGTCTGCCAACCCTCTGCTGCTGTCGCTCCGACGTCCTCACAAGCTGGTCTCACCGAGCACCGTTGCCGCTGAGGTGGCTCCTCACTTCCATGTTGGATGCTGGTGTGGACACCATCGTTTTTCACGGCGCATTCCACACGTAGTGCGGCCACCTCCGCTGCCTGTCGGACGGGAGCCTCTGTACCCGACATCCTCTGGGCCACCGCCTGGGCGCAATCCTCTATATTCCAGAGGTTTTATTCTCGTGATGTTTCACCCTCCTCCTTCTGATGGCACCACCTTCGGTGTGACTGTCCTTGGCTGACAGTCTGTTATTCCGCCGCTCATGATTGCGGCCGATAGGGTCCACGGCTTCAGTCCGCCGTGTTCTTTTCTCCTACACATTTGGGTTTTTCTCAGACCTTTTCCTTTCCAAAGGTCCTGTATATACCTGGTGCACCAGTTTTTTCCCAGGTGTTCCCACTCAGGAGTTTGCATTGTCCGTTAATTCTGCATAGTTGACAATGCTAAGTTGTATTCCATTTTGGTATGATCTACTCCACTCGCCGTTCCGTGCGTAAGTTTTATGATAATTCCATCTGTACTCAGTGATGGTCATTCGGTGGTCTGTGCCTGGCATAGTGTGGGCTGATTATGCTTGTTTATCATGCCACGCACCTTTTACTAGAACTTTCACTAAGTCCTTGTGTGGACAGTGTGATAGTTTCTTGTTTCCGCTCAGGGTGCGGAACCGACTTTAAACAAGACATAGTTATATCTCACCGGAAACTCCGACATGCAATTTCCCATTTCACAAGCAATGGAAAATTGTGTAGTGAAGTGGGAATTGTATAAGGAGTTAGAGGTGAGATATAACTATGTCCCACCCACCCACCCTGTTTGGGTTTGTTCTCCATGAAAATAGGCCTGAAGGGCCTTGGATGAGCTGCATCAAGTACAGCTTCATTAGAATATTGAACTTTTAAAAAATGCTGTGTTCGAGCATGAAATCGCGTAAATCGCGAGGGCTAGACATAGTTATATCTCACCTCCAACTCCTTATACAATTCCCACTTCACTACACAATTTTCCATTGCTTGTGAAATGGGAAATTTTCTCTTAGATACTAGGGAGGTTAAGCTGCACGTTATTTCCGACGCGACGTGCAATTTCACGTCAAATTTGGCGTAAAACTCCTAACTTTGACGTGAGCTGCAGACCACTTCCGTTGTTTTCCAATGCGCGAACCAAATAACACGAGGTGAACTTTCACGTCATGTCAAAAGTAACGTACTTGCAAGATTACAAGTGTGCAGCTTCTGAATTTTCTCCATGGGTGTCTGTCACAGCGAAATTCCGGAATTGCATCATATTTGGTTCAGATCTGACGCGGGAAGTGGCGTAATGCGTACAACTGAGCTGCAGTTGTGCTGA